TCTTGATCAGGGCGACGAGCTGAGTCGATTTGGCCCTGTCCGTCTGTCTGTCCGTGCGTCGATCTCAGAAGATATGAGCTAGAGACTTTCAACTTTTTTTTAGAATGTCCGTATGTATCGCGCGCATATCAGTTTATCACTAAAATACGATAACTCATCCCGTTATTTTTAATCGATAAAAACGTTATCGAAAATCAGCTATAAAATTATATCCCCCACATCTTTAAAGCTGGAGTCTTCAAATTTAAAATATATGTATATAAAGATGCATTTTATACAAGAACCCCCCCTTCCTATATCCACCTCTTCACCCTCCTATAAAGGGCGAGACTTACACTTCGGTATATACATACATACATTTAAAGATTTATGATTACGTTCTAAAAGTTTCATTAAGATTGTACGTATATAAATTAAATTATTGAACAAATAAATTCTCATAATATTTCCAAAATTAAATACATATGTATATGTAAGCCAATTTCAAAAGTAAATACCTTAATTGTCAGTCACTAATTTTATCACGGTACAATAAAGAATTGTAAGTTGAATGAACTGGAGGGATTTTCGAAAGCAGCAAAAATATGGTTAAAATGGCCAACGTATCAGTTAAGTGAGTTTTCACCAACAGAAATTTAATGTGTAGATTTGCACACATTAATATATAGTACACGTTGAAGCTGCATCAGTAAAGGTACTGCTCACACCTGCTGTCATGTGAGAAACATCCAGTAGGATGAAATAAAGAAAATCGAAAACTGAGCATGATTATGATTATGAGTATTGAAGCTTAAGGAAATATATAATCTGCCCGAATCAACTCCGAAAACTTTGGCAGTAGCTAACAATTCTGCGTATTCAATGGCCATCAGTTTCGTAGCACGCCTTTCATATGAAACGGATGGATTAAAACTGTGGAGATCGTCACATTTATGCGTTGTATGAACATTGTTATAACTTCGTATTTGATATTCTGTGAACAGTAGCTTGTACAATTACCCTAAATCTAAGTCTCATTTACATATTATGCGTGGGCCATAAGTCTACTTAAGCTATAATGAAGATTGCCATTAACGAATGTTAGTGCCAAATCTAATGCTGATGGCCGAACGTGATAACCAGTGGCAACAAAGTCCCGAAAATCATGATAATTAACTCGCTGTAGCGCAAGCCTTTATTGCTATTGAGCAGTTCGCTAGGAGCGGTTGGCTCTCGCGATTCTTCTAGCATATGGTATTCGTATTGGGCCTTACGATGATGATTGCTGCTGTGTCCACCCTGCATCAATTCTGGCAATACATGCACGGTCGCCACATATAAAAAGGTACCTGCAGAGAAGAGCATCGCGATACCAGTGGCATTCACCGAATTTAGAGTCTCCTTTTGCTCCTGCCCAATGCCAAAGTAAGTGAGTAGCGTGAGCAGTGGAGCCGACAAAGAGAATATGCCCAGATGCTTTCGTATTTGCTGTCGTTCCACTTTGTCGTGCAACAGAAAGCTAACCAAACCAAAAGCAGCTGGCGCCTTATGCAGCATTATGGCTAGAAACACAATTATTTCAACATCTTGGTGACTGGTCGTTGCCGCAGCACCTAACGCGATCCCATCAGCTGAAAACGTCAAAGGTCAGAGGAAGCGGCTTAATTATAAAATAATTGATAGCACCTGCAGCATGCACTACTAATCCCAGAGTTGCTGTAATATTCCTTTCATTTTCACTGCTTTTGCCGCTTTTACGCTGAGAAACTTGATCGACAAGCATCATAAAAACAAAGCCCAACACCAGAGATAATCCAATTGTACAAGAATAATCGGGTGTTTCATGCGTCTCATAAAAGCTAGATGCATCAAGTTTGACAATATCATCGAGTCGTTTTGCTGTTGCTGATGCTAGGGCTTTAGGTTGATGGCTGTGCATATATAAAGATCGAATGCCTTCTGGTATAATCACTGTCAAAGCTGTGCCAACCAACAAACCAGCGCCCAGTACTGTGATGAATTTTAGCTTTTCCTGAATTGAAAAATTAATGAATGGTTTTGATAAATTCTGGTTTGATCTATTATTGCTAGGTATACAAATACCTCACTTAATTTCATAACGAGGGGTATATTTCCAGCCAGATAAGATCCAACTAGCATTACAATTACCAATAAAATTAATATAATCGTTTCGTCAGCCATTTTAGACTTTCTTTTTTGTTTTATTTTTATGTTTGCCAACTCAACTATCAGTTGTTCTATGGTTCAGTCTTTATCAAATGAAAATATTAGTATTTTATTGCTTATAGTATGCGGTCACTTTAAGAAATCGGTATTTTTAAAATAATTACATATATCGTACTTTCCCAGATTACAAAATACGGTCTCACTGGCTAGTCGTGCATACACATATGTTTGTGGCTTAAAAAATTAGAAAAAAACTGTTTTAAAGAAATAACCCAATCCAAATTACAATTTTATTTTCACTAGAACCATTTGAATTTATCAAATAATGTTTTCAGTCTTCACTACATTCACAAACTCCCTTATATGCCATCGCTATAATGATTATGCCATGTATACAAGTAACATATGTGTGTAAACATTATCGGTAATATCGATGAATTTGCAACTTAACTAATAAATTAGCGAAGTAAAAATTCGATTTTAAAACATAATATTTACATAGATTCTTGGCAATAGGGCGGACTTAGTGCGTCCTTAAATCTGTAAGTTTCACAATGAAAAAACATAAATTAAAAGTTATGTATATATGTATATATATATACATATATATATATATATATATATTAGCAAAGCTTATATATGATTGTATTTGGGCATATAAAAATGAATGAGTAGTGATGCATTTATTTATTTACACATTCTTAAGTTATTCTTAAAGAATAGTTCATATTCAATAAGACAATTTGTACATATCTAAGATTTTACGTATGCTAAGAGTGCATGCATACATACATTTGCATACTTTTGCAGTGCATTGTCTGAATATACAAATGTATTTACATATACATATACATTTATACCTTATGCACATGATTTGTTTTTACAGTTTATATACAATGGGTAATTGTCTAAAAATTAATAGTCCCGATGACATTTCCCTGTTGCGAGGCAGCGAAAGTTTTAGTGGTCAGGATGGTGGACCGATGCCAGTTTACCAGGTAGGATCTTCGAATTAGTTATAGGCAAAAAACTGTTATTTTTATTAATATTTGGTTTATTTCTGCAGCATGAGCCGATGACCCAAGTGTTTTATCCTACCTCTTCTAGTAGCCCTGATGCTGCCGATGCTGGGAATCGCATTTCAGAGGAGGAGCAGATAAAAATAGCGAAGCGCATCGCTCTCGTTCAGCATCTGCCCATTGGCACCTACGATGGCAACTCGAAGAAGGCACGCGAATGTGTCATTTGCATGGTGGAGTTTTGTGTGGACGAGGCTGTTCGATATCTTCCTTGTATGCACATCTATCATGTCCATTGCATCGACGACTGGTTAATCCGGAGTCTCACTTGTCCCAGCTGCCTGGAGCCAGTGGATGCTGCGTTATTAACAAGCTATGAAACAACATAGCGCAGTCTACACTATTAAGAAATTGTGTATTAACGTGAGAACTATATAATCGAGCCGAACAAAATCAATAACTGTTAGCATAGCGCCAGAACGTATATTATGCCGTCAAACTCGCGTCCTTTGATAAAAATGTCAACAATAACGGATCTGTTCTTATTGCAACCTACAGACAAGTCAAATGACACAAGTTTATCAAATGAGTGGTCAACAAAGTTTGAGTTTGAATTAAAAAGGAGCAGCATCCTAATCGATCGTAGCTGTTCGTCATTGCTTTCAATAGAAGAGGCGGTTATCTTATTATTATCTCTGTTTTGTTGTAATCAGTTCTTAATTGTTTAATATTTGTGTACCGTTGATGAACATTTATGGAAAATTATATCAATGATAAATGCGTTGTACATATACATATAATACAACAATTAAAGTCTTTGTTAAAGTATTTGTTAGATTTTTTTTAGTATTTTGCTTGGTTTGTTTAAACAATAATCGCTCAAAGAGAATCGTAGATTAGATTATATTTTTCCCCTCATCCGGTTCTTCCAAGCAACTGAACAGTTGTCAATGTCAAAAGCCGAAGGCTCGAAAAATACGCAATATTGGTGGGAGTATATACAGTGACGAACTAAATAATTGGCACAGCAAGCATTTAATCTTTCGAGCAATTTTTAAAGTATTTTTAAACGTTTTTTAATAAAACAAAAAATTACTCAAAAAGAACAGGGTATTTAATATATTATATAAAAAAACTAGTAAGAAATCTCTAGTCGAGACTGCTCGACTACGAGATCCCCTGAACCCTACAAGCAACTGATATTTCAATAATAATTAGCACACACACACGCACTCATACATACAAATATACGCACACACACACTCACATATACAGGCGATTGCGCTTGGGTTGCGCTGCAGTCTTGGTAATATAATAAGAACTTATTTGTTGAATAATTTAATTTCTAGATGTACGATCGTAATGAAACTTT